GAGTACTTGACACATTGAAATAATCAGTAAATTTTGAATCATATGGCAGAAAGTAGACAGAAAAATCTTAATGTATGCTTAGGTACATTTAGTTAGCAATAGGCTTCATAAATTCAACCATGGAAGATAAGAAAGGTAATGACTAAATAGAGAACAACTAGTCTACTAGCATGCACAAACTCCACATATCAGTGATGCATGTTCCGCAAGAACCTAGCACAAAAAAATGAAATGGCATTGAGTACAAAAGCGAGACTATTTCCATCAGATTTGAGCTCCTATCGTGTTTAACTCCATAATAAACAAAGCTTGCAATCTCTAGCTGTCACATAACAATAAAGATTGGTGAACAAAAAGGAAAGAGAGAGCAAGAGAGTGGAAACTAGAACAACCATATCCCCCATATCACAAAATGCTCTGACCTTGTTGATAGCCAAAGCAAGTATGCAATTGCCAAACCACCAACTCTCATCTGAACTTTCAGGAAATCGTGGATATTTTGGCTTTCATATCTAAGTTCTCCACATCATTAATCGGTCTGGTTGTCTGATCCCTGGTTCTCTTGATCTTGGGGCTCTCCAGCCCCTTGTGTGAGAAACCATATAGCCGAAGCACCTGGTTGTCAGCAAAATTAAACGCTCGCTCCATGCTCCTGAGGCAGCGCTCCACTGGGTAATCCCCATAGCTCCCACATGGCTTGCACCCAACAAAGTGAGTCACAAAAGGCCACCGCTCGTCACCGAGGCCTGGGTGATGATTCTCCATCATCTCCTCATACTTGTCCACCAGCCCAGCCCAGAAGCCATGCAAGTAGTAAGAATTCTCAATGAACACCTTGTCCATCCACTTGTCCTTTTGCGAGAGCAAGAGGTAAATCAGTGCCGACTGGTCATCGGCCTCGAATGCTGGCCGGCCCTTGAGGTTGGCCGTGAGTACCTTGCCGGCCTGGTCACGGATGAAGCCCTTGGGGCCCATGGGCGCCCACGCGTCCAGGAGGTCAAGCGACCACTGGCAATTTCTGAAGAGGAAGCTGCCGGTGTTGAGTGCAATCCAGGAGTGCTTCTCGAAGAGGAGGTCCTGGTAGCCGTGGATGATGAGGTTGTGGCCATCATAGCGCGACAGGGGCAGCTCGAACGCCATGTCGGTGAAGAGCGCGTCGCTGTCCATCCACCAGATCCACTCGACCTCCGGGTGGGAGAGCATGAGGCGGCGGAGCAGCGGCAATTTGGCCCAGTATCCCGCGAGCTCGTTGTCAAGGTGCGCGAGGTTGTGGACAATCTCGATGCCATGAAGGCGGCAGTAATCAATCTTGTTCTTGGTAGTCTTGAGCAGGTAGTGGTCGCCGAGCGGGTTGTCGCAGGGCCCCGGCTGCGAACCGGTGACGAGCATAATCCTGGGCTTGCCCCCGGCAACGGTGGCCGAGAAGCCCGGGTTTTGTGCTAGCCACCGTCGCCGCTGCGCGTCCCAGTCGGAGATCTTGGGGCCGAGCGCGTATTTGCCGACCGCGGCAGCGTACGCCGCGGCGGCCTCGGTGGCGCTGAGCGCGGTGGCGTTGAACCCGGAGGAGGCGCTGAAGTCGCCCTCGTCGTCGGGGTCGGGCCCGGAGTCGGAGCGGATCTCGCGGAGGATGCGGTCGATGTCCTCGACGGCCTTGGCGTCCGCGAGCGCGTCGGCGTCGGAGGGCTGCGAGGGGAGGGAGAGGTTGAGGCCGATGGTGCCCCGGAGGACGAGGATGGTGACGAGGCCGCAGAGCACGGTAATCTTGAGGTTGTTGAAAGTGCGGTGGATCTTGCGCGACCGGCTGTGGTGGTGGAGCGGCGACGCGCCCCGCGGCCGCGGCGCCGTCATCGGCAGCCCTCCGCCGCCGCCTCCTCCTCCTCCCCCCTTGCTGTTGTACCCCATCCCCTCCTGCCCCATCCCCGCCACGGGGAACGGAATCCTCGGATTTTTATTGCCCGCTCCGGGTTCCCCGCCCGGCGCCGCGGATTGGGGTCTGGGACTGCTGACTGGGGTGGGGGCGCGACTCGCGTCACATGGGCGGGGAGAGCAGCACCGCGCGGCGCGCTGGAGCTGGAGTGCGCGACCCGCGGCGACGGCGAGTGGGAATGGGAATTGAGATGGGATGGGATCGGAGGATGCGAGGGTCTGGGTGGGGTCGGGTCGGGGATGGGGGGTAGGAGGACGAAGCGGTGTGCGTGTGTGTGTGAGCGGTGTGAGCCCCTCTTCTTTTTTATGGGCTTCGTCTCTCTTCTGGGACAGTGGGCTGTCGGCCGTTGACCCGGGCTTGGTTTCGCGGCTTCCGCCGGCCGGCTGCCCGGCCGGAGTTGTACCGGTGCGGACGTGCGGTGCGGTGCGGTGCCGTTTGGCGTGCGGGCGTCGCGTTTGCCACTCTACCTGCGGTGGTTGGAGGCCTGGACCGTGCGTGCGTGCTCGCACGTCTTCCGGGCCGGCAAGCCGGACGGCCAACTCGTTCTCGGCCGCCAGGCCCAGCGTCTAACCTTGCCAGTATTCTTTATTCCAGTAATACACTACTACTTGATGAATTTTAACTCATGGTCATGGTGATTTCAACTCTCCACTGTTGATTCTTGGGATACGGGACCGAGATAATGTGAGACGGCGTGTTTTCCTAAGTGCAGCGACCTCCTCCTCGTCGCCCTCGTCGGAGACTCGACGGCTTTCACGGCACGAATAGTTTAATTTTGATTATTAATTACTCGTGGTACTACTGTCCACGTGGACGAGATTAAGCCATGACAACAATTATAGAAAAAGAAAAGGTCAGTAGCCTCTTCTCGCTTAAAATTTTGTGTTTGAGGCTTAGTTGAAATTTCGTGTCCCACTTTGGCAGTTTCTAAAACTCATGTGTTATATTATATGTGGAATGATTATATCCTATAAATTTATTTTGTTCCTATAAAATTTTGATTATCTCTCTTCAATAGTATTGTGCCAGGTAAGCATATTTTGCTAAATTAATATCTTATTTGCTTATGAAACTCTTATAAAATATCCTAAACTAGCCTTATTAGTAACTTTTTTAAGGATGGATGGGTCTCACCTCTTCTCTCTCACTTCGGCTTTCTTTTCTTTTTCTTCTTCTTACTTTGGCCATGTTCGCTTGTCTTATAATCCGTACTTTTCAGCTTGTTTTTTTCAGTCGGAACAATGTTTGGCTTGTTTTTTCAGCGAAGCGAACAGGGCCTTTGTCTCCTTCCTCTCCCTAATAGAGTAGGAATATCGACAATCGGATGAGTTATAGGTAGAGTAAATATTCACTCGCGACACGTTGTCTAACAAATAAAATTATGTATTTATGCTTATGAATGAAATTTTACATAGCACCTGTGTTTGTATGTTGGATTGCATAATAGAGTCTCTTGAATTCTTGACACTAATGAATAAAGCCACTCATGGAATCCCATACCTATGAGTATGGTTGAATCTCCACAACAGATGACGGTCTCTCTTCTCGCTCTAGCTTCGTTATCGGCATAGCCAGTGATGGCGCAATTCATCGTAATCGTCCAATTTGTCGCCTCTCCCTCCTTAGCCAACTACTTTAGCCTTAGCTCCCTCTCCCTATCTCCTCCCTGCCAGCTCGAATGGCTTAATGCTACCTCCAACATTGAGGCAAACTCATTGGCCTTCAATGCTATCAATGCCACCACCACCACCACCCAACAGTCGTCCACCACCACGGTAGGATGCCTTCCTGTTCACTACCACAGTTGTCGGTTGGTGACCTACCTAGTGATCCTTCGAAGCTCTGTGACAATTGTTAAGCCTCATACCCTAAAATCCTCCATTCCTTAAATTCAAATTTGTAGAATAAGTTTTGGTGATCCATGGATAAACACAAATTTCAAGCACCGAGTAACTAATTCTAAGAAAAAAAACAAAGACCATGGCAACGGTTTTGATAGGTACACCAACTTTTTGGTAGGACCAATAGTATTGGTTTCGTAAAGTTACTTCTAGTCCAAAAAGAACGTAAATCTTATTTATGGAGGAGTCAAATTATTTCAAATTTAATCAAATATATAAAAAGGTAATAAATATTATGATATTTAATACCACTAGATTAATTAATTATGAAATATATTTTCATAATAGACTTATTTAAAGATACGACAAATGTTGATACTAATTTTTATAAGAGTCAAGAGCCTCTTATATATTCTTTTGTACCGATAGAAATAGAATTTTTGGTAAAAAAGAGTCCTCCAAGAGCTTCTTCAATTAGTTCTCCAAATATTGCCATCTTTTATTAGTGGTTTATCGTTAGCTAAAGATGGCGAGTGGGCCGTTTGTCCAAAGTACGCACAAGATACAGAGAAACTATTAGAGGGTGAAAAGATATATAGAGTGATTTTTATTCAAATGACTCTTCAAACGAGTATTTATAGAGCGAGTTTAAGAATAGAGCGGTTTTTATTCAAATAACTCTTCAAACGAGGATTTAAAGAGCAAGTTTAAGAAAAACAATTGGAGATGCTCTAAACCTTGTCAAATTTAGAATTGGTTCACTTCTAGAGAAGCTCAATTTCTGTCTTTTAGGTTAAACGGAGCAATTATTTAGCTACTTATAGATAAACAATAGTAGTATATGAGTTAACGTACTCCCGTAAACGTCAATAAAAAAGATCAAATCTAGAAAAAAATTAGACAGTTTTTTATTAAGAGAACAAGTACCCGCACGTTCCACCCAACTGGTTGAATTGGACTCACTTCTTATAAACGTCAATCATGCACACCAAGGTTCTTTTAGACTATGGAACAAGTGGATTGCTCTAAGAGTTTTACTCCAGTAAATCTTGTATGAATCTGTATTGGATTTACAATAGTACAAGACCCACCTCCAATTACAGTATTCACTTCACATGTCAGTGGCTCGGTGCCAAGAGTATACTCTATACTCCTTGAGTTTTAGTAGTGCTAGAGTTTTACATGTAAATGATGGACAGGTTCATCATACAAAGTGAAGCATTGCTCAACACTCAGCAGCCACCAGGAAGCCTTGCTAGTCTGTCTCCTGCAAGCTCTACCGTCTTATCATTTCCGTTCTGTTTCGCAGCAGCACAAAGCAAACTCCAGGCCGATGCGACAGATTCAGAAGGAACGACACTGTCGATGAAATGCTCTGCCTCCTTGAACATCCCCGCACGACTCAAGACTTCAATCATGTGGGAATAATGCTCCTCCGAGGGCTGTATCTTGTAAACCTCCGTCATGGACGCAAAAAACCTGAATGCTTCATTTACTAGGCCAGTTCTCGCGCAGGCCTTCAGCACAGATAAAAATGCCTCCGGTGTCGGACGGCACTTCTCCTTCTGCATCTGTGAAAACAGGCGAATGGCAGTCTCTGGGCAGCCATTCTCGACGTTTGCCGCCACTATTGACGTCCAGGAAGATGCATCCTTGTTAGGCATATAGTTGAAGGCATCGAACGCATGCCTAAGGCTACCACAACTGGAGTACATGTCGATGAGGTAGCTGTTGGTACAAGCAGTGGAAGCAAGGCCACACTTGGTCATGTAGGCATGTGCTTGCAACCCTTCCTCAAGAAGTCCCAGCTTCCCACACGAACTCAAGATGAGATGTGCAGTATGGTAGTCAAGGTTTGCGCCACAACGTTGGATAACATGAAAAAGATAAACTATTCCAACATGATGGTCAACCTGAGAAAATGATTCGACCAGTGTGTCCCAAGAAATATCATGGTTTGAGAGTGCTAAGCACAGTTTCAGAGCCTGGTGGTACCGACCTTGTCTTAGGTAAAAGGTAATCAAACTTTTCAGGACAGAGGTGTTGGTTCCATAGCCATTTCGAATCAAGTTGCTGTGGATCTCCATACCACTTACAGTATCTCCAAGAGCCATGCATGCCGTAAGTATAGCGGTGTAGGTGAATTCGTTAGGTTGCACATGCTCTGACTGCATACTCCTAAACAAATGCACTGCTATTCCGTACTGGCCATTCAGACAGTTTCCTGAGATAGCAGCAGACCACGCAGCTGTACCTGGATTCTTGGTTCTTGAAAACAGAAGATTTGATTCATCCAGAGCACCGCATTTAGCATACATGTCAACCAACGAACTAGTAACAAAAGAATCTGGATTCATATCAGACTTTAAAATGCAAGCATGCAACATCCTCCCTGCTACCAGATCTAGACCAGAAGCACATGACTTCAGACTGCTTGCCACGATGAATTGATCCAGCTTGCCCTGCACTGTCAGATAATATTTTAACATTCTCAAAGGAAACACCCGGTACCTCTTACGAAGAGTAGCCCAACTGACATACATATCAATGAGAGCACTCATGACGTGCTTGTCAGAGTCCAAACCGGCTCTGATGAGGTAGCCATGTATTTCCATACCATGACCAAAAGCACCAGTTCTGGTAACAACATGAAGAATGCTGCCCAGCGTAAACTCATCGCATTCTGCGAATTCAAACATCATAGCACGAAAATGAGCTGAGGCTTCTTCATGGCACAAGTTTTCTGCATAACACTGGATTATGGTGTTCCAAGAAACCAAATCTTTGCCATTCATCTCATTGAACACGTTTCGCATCAGCTGCAGTTCACCAGACCGTCCGTAGAATCCGATCAGACAATTATCCAGGAATTCCTTGCCGACCAAACCCATCTTGATCATGCAGCAGTGTAGCTGATGGCCCAATCCCACATGGCCCAAACTCGAAGCTGCCCTGAGTGCCACCGACAGTGTAAAAGCATCGCAAGCGACGCCATCACGGATCATTTCCATGAACAGCATCAGTGCTTCGGCGTCACATCCGTTCTCAGTGTATGCACTGAGCATGGATGTCCAGGAAACCAGGTCCGGAGAGGCGATACTGCCGAAGACCTTCTCGGCGCAACGGAGGGACTGGCAGCTCGAGTACATGGTGACGAGGCCGTTGGCCACGAAGAGGTCTACGCCAACGTACCCGAGCTTGGCGACGGCGCCATGGAGCTGCCTGCCGAATCGAAGGCTCCCGACGGCGGCGCAGGCGCGTAACGCGACAGAGAAGACGAAGGCGTCGGGTCTGACGAGAAGACCGAGCATGCAAAGGAGCAGCTCGAGCGCCTCGGAGGCTGGACCGTGGGTGGCGTACCCGGACATGAGCGTGGTCCAGGCGACAAGGGACCTCCCTCGATCTGGCATTGCGTCGAACACCTCCTGCGCGGGCCGCATCCGGCCGGCGCGGGCGTGGGCGCGGAGCAGGGAGAGCTGCGCCGCGGTGGCGGTAGTGGTGGAGGCGTTTGGTACGAACGTATTGGGTCTGTGACTGCCACTGTGTGGGGACGCGGGGGTGATGACGCTGCTCGTAAAGCTGGAAGAGCGCGGCAGCAAGCGATGAGGAGGAGGAAGCGCCATTGGAGGCTGCGATGGGAATCGCTGCGCTGGGAGACGAGGATTTGAATGGAGGGGACAGGAGGACGACGGGGATAAGGTTTAGGTGGGCTCTCCACTCCTGGGCCTTAAGATGTAGGTGATCTATTTCTGGGCTTCCAGCCCATATCTACCAAGGCCCCACGTATTGAGGCAGATCTTTCCTTCCGCCTTCGATGCGCGCCGTTCTGCCCTCGTCGGCAGCAGCCTCAGCAAGTTTGGACGTGTTTGGTTGTTTTTTCAAAGCTTGTCTTGTCTCAGTGGCATTGGTAACAAGGACCTTTGCCAGTCTAGGAAAGCCTAATTAGCTCTCTTAGGTAGCGATACAAGTTTCGTCTGTACAAGCCTCAAGGATAACTTGCTTGATACTCGAACATAACACTCAACTTGCTATTCTAGTCTAGCAAGGCAGTATAATGCCTCGCAAACAAGCATGCCCTTCTTCTCCACGAAGAAGAGCACATACGGATAGTAAGAGAACCATCCTGAATGGTATTTATCGTCAAGAAATCCGCGACACTCCCTCATTAGGTATGGTGGCCATGTCGACGAAAATCATTTTGACCCTCTAATACTCATAGTCTGTCGAGGGATCTAGGGCATAGGAAAAACCGTAAACAGGGGCATCCTCACCTGCAAAACAACTTAGAGTAGCATCTTGAGTACAAGAAGGTACTTTCAGGTCCTACCCAAATTTAAATAATAAGGATCATGCAAATGGCTTTAGCAAGGAATAAAGGCTAGTTTTCGCATAAAAGCATTTATGCAATAAGTAAAGATTTTTTGTCATCTAATTTCCAAGTATAGCATGGTTGATGTGCATAAATAACTAAGCAAGCTTGGGGCTCGATATTCCACGAGGCTTTCATCATGCACACTACTCTGAAGCAAGATCAAAGTCACAAAACGTGTTTATGTTGGAGAGCATGGTATTCGAATAATAATAGTAGTAAAAACTCCACGCGCACAGGTATATGTTTTACCCACTAAAAAACGAGGACACAACTTATATGATTCGTCCATGCATAAGAAGTATTTTATGCCTCAACCTTTCTCATGCTTGGCCAAATCACCCATGAATGATTAGAGATGGTCAAGGATACTAGCTTCCTAGCTACCCCGCGCCCTCCAGCTTCGAGCACATTCTAAGCGAAGCAGACCTTTGGATTCATGCTGGCGCAGGTCACTTATTATTAGCGTATGCGTTTCTTTGTTTTTTTGTTGTTGTTTTCATCTGCCTAAGTCACAATCTACAGCGTTTAGTGTTGTGGCCTGTGGGTGCGTGTACTCCTGGGCTCCTGGCATGGTAACAAACTTTTTCATTTTCATCTTGTTAATGCGTATTTCTTAGTGCAAATACACGCAGCTCTCCGTCATAGTCTCCATATTTTTCCCGCTCAAGTAACAAGCACTACTTGAAAAACGGTTTGTAGCAACGGGATAAATTTTTTTTAGGGGCGGCTGGTGATAGAGCCGCCCCTACAGTGGCGTGCTCGGGAGCCTAGAGACTAGCCGCCCCTACAAATGAAACAGCAGGGGCGGCTAGTGATACCAGCCGCCCCTACAAATATGCCTGATTTATAGGGGCGGCTCACTCACCAGCCGCCCCTGGTGTTTCTATTTGTAGGGGCAGCTCAATCACCAGCCGCCCCTACAAATAACTCTCACTATATATTCCAAAGCACAGTCGAAAAATATCTTCAGAGCAGCGGCCAGGGCGACTCTTCCCCTCCCCTCTCTTTCTCTCCTCTACGCTCTCTCCCCCTCTCGACGCCACCAGGATCTTCCCCGATGCACCCTCCCTCTCTCCCGCCGGTGCTCAATCCCTCCATCTCTCCCGGCGCTCCCTCTCTGTGGTGGGGTGGCCACTCCCTCTAAGGCAGCAGGCAAGCTGCTCCCTCCCCTGAGCACGAGCGGCGACAACCCCCGATGACACTCCTAGGTCTAGGCGAGTGGATCCGTCGGTGGTGAGCTCAGGGCGACCGGATCTGTCGATAGCGAGCTTGGGGCGGCCGGATTCGTCGATGGGTGAGCTCGGGGCGGCCGGATCCGTCAACGGCAAGCTCGGGGTGGCCAGATCCGTCGACCGGCTCGATGGTGGCGGCTCCCAGCGACGGCAAATCCTGGTTGTGTTGAGATGATCAGGATCAGGTGATAAGCCCATTAGTGGCTCAGGTAAGCATAAGTCGCATCAAGCTTCTCTCTGTAGTTGGCGAGCATAAGTGATCTGAAAACTGATTTTGTACTATGGTTTCCAGATATTAAATCTTTTTAGCTTTAGATTGCAGTTAAATATTAATTGCTATAGTCTTCTACATTATGAAGGGTTACTTCATGAAAAGGAAAATAAGTTATATTCCTTTACAATGTACTGTGCATGATTCATAAATTATATTTCACATTAGATGTCTTTTGTAGCTCTGGTTCTTTCTTTGTTAGGATTATCTGTTTCATGTTCTTGTTTGCCTAATTCAGTTTTCTGTTGTCTATGTGTGGCTTCCTCAACAATTAACATTAGATGTCTTTTGTTTAAGAAATGGTTAATAAGATTATCTAGGATTCGTGATGAAGAACTACCTACATCTGCAGATTAATGACCGCTATGAGTTTCCTCTTCAACTTGATCTTGATAGAGACAATGGAAAATATCTTTCTCCAGATGCAGATCGAAGTATTAGAAACCTCTATACGCTTCACAATGTAATTTATTTGTCATATACTTGTTCCAATTCTTTGAATGGTATATAGGTGCAACAAACTATAATGGAGAAATCTAATTCATGTATATAGAAATGTGAAATTCAAACCAAAGTAGCACTTTTCCTTTAAGTTTCAGGTTACTTTTTTCTAGATGACGATCTCGGTTCATGTAATACGAGAAGAACCCGAGTGTAGAAATTGGCCAATAAATTGAATGTATGCAACATTATCCTTTTGCCCTACATAGTGAAGTGTGTTGGAAAATGTGCAAATTTAAAGAAAATTGTTGTCTTCTTTGTTCGACAGTTTATTTCACATTATTCATGTATTCTTGACAACATGCATACGAAAATGATCCATTTTTTCTATGCTTGATGTTGCTGTCTTTTTTCATTCAAAGTTCTTGTTCATAGTGGGGAGTACATGGTGGTCACTACTATGCTTTCATTTAATGACACTCTCGGATCGGTGGTGTGTTTCCATCTTATGAGTTTCAGTTCATCTTTGGTAGATGTGTCTTCCGGTAGTTTGCCTTAATAATTTTCTCGTCGTGCACCATTATTTTGATTGTGGCCCACATTTTAAGCTTAAGACATATTTGTGATTCTTAAAATGCTCCATGTTTCTTATTACCTTGGAATAATTTGTGGGAAGATAACCTCCCAATTAGACTTGATGTCTCTCTTATATATACAACATATGGGCCAATATGGGCCTAGAATGGATGGGCGTGATATATATAACAAATTGTTGCATGATATTGAACTGAGTATTGTATATATTTCACAAGTAATATCTTATTTAACCAGATGGCATATGGAATCACTTTCTTTGCTTATGCACAACACATTGTCATCCAGCTACTATATCTTTGAAAATGTTTCTACAGATGCCATCTCTATGAATTTTTCTCGGTTGGTTTTCGTGTACAAATTCGATGATGAGCGGGTTACAAAAGAAGACACTAAAAAGGCACTTGAAGAGCGGTATGGGGGTGAGGAAGAGGTAACATTCTTTATAACAAATGTTCATTCAATTACAATGCACGATTACTTGTGGACTTCTATTAACTTTCTTCTTATTTCTTCTTTGTATGGAACAGTTGCCTCAAATAAACCCTGGTTTCAATAACACACCATTCAAATTCACAAAGTATTGAACGCCTATATGCTTGTCTATATACGTGAGAGTGACAAGGAGAAAATAATGTGTAATGTCGATGAGAAGGATATTCTTTGAGCATTTGCGTGTAAGTAGTTCTTGTATACTTTCCACCTTTTCTTTGTATCATCTTAGTATTTTCGTTGAAGATAGTGATTGATTGAACCGTTCTTATACGAGATAAGGTTGAAGAAAGAACAAGAAGAGAGAGCACAAGAAGAAGGAGAAGGTCAAGCTCATCTCTACACTATCATAAAGGTCCAGCCTTGTTTCAGATCATACCAAATGACTAACTTCTCTCTTGGTGACTCCTCTTGATAGACTCACATGCTCGATTCTAGTTAGACTAGAAATGTCCTAATGAGTAGCTCTTTACATATATGCAGACTCACATGAGGACGCAGGATTTATGACCTTGCCGTAATGCCTAATGGTGCGCTTCTCCTCTTCTTTTTCCTATTTTGTTTTTAGAAAGACACTTTGGATGCCATGAATCATGATTCATGCATGCTACAACTTGTGGGAGCTCCATCTTGCACGCCTTAAATGAGGAAAACGAAAGTCAAGGCATGCCATTAACAATTATCCCGTTGATATTGCTCATAGATCTTTTTGGTGTCCAGGGCATAACTACATGTGTGTATATCGCTAAGATAAACTCATCTAATCACTCGCCTCTTAGGATGTCATGTATCTAGTATAAACTTGATGGATTTACACCTCATCCGAATGCAAAGGCTCACATTATTTTCGATGAATGATAGTTGTCACATGCACGGTAATTTATTGATCTTCTTTTTCTTTTGTTACTTGAGATGACCAAATAGCAATTGAGATGGTTGTCTTCCAATTATAGAGATCGAGAGAGAAGTAGAAACAGATGAGTTCTCATTCGATCTATATTTGCATGGTTGTCTTCTGATTTATATTTGTAAATTTAATTTTTTTGTGGAAAAATGATTTGTAGGGGCGGTTGATGCAGAGTCAGCCCTACAAATCGATTTGTAGGGGCGGTGGTGTTCCCAGACCGCCCCTATAAATCGATTTGTAGGGGCGGCTACAGTACCAACCGCCCATACAAATCGATTTATAGGGGAGCAGACCTTTGGATTCATGCTGGCGCA